TATACAAACACATTATGAGTGTTCAATTACTTCTTGCTTGCTTATATGCAGGAGGAGTGATATATTTTAAGTGGTCAATATTTAATGATAACTTATTTGTAAAAAAATTATTGGGAAAAAACGAGTTATAAATATCAATTCAAATAGTTGCAAATAATGATTATGTTTTTAATCTATTTGTTATTTGCATGGTTACTAGGATCGAAGTATGTTAAAATAGCTAGTGTGGATTATCACTGAGGACAATACTTAAATTAAGTTGCTTATATTCATTATATTAAGTTTTCCCATCATACGTAATCATGTGTTTTATTTTTGAAATAATAGCATTTAGTTATTGGAAAAATCGACATATATAATGGATATGAGCAATTTGGACCCTTTTTTTCAATTATTAATTATTGATAAGGTTTAATGCATGGAATCTATGAAAGGTTAGTCGCACACATGTAAAGACCACAGCGCAAATACGCAATCCTCTGAGGCAAGTGATTTTCTATTACGGTTCGATCATGATGGGGAAAAAAATACTAATTATAAGACAATTGACTTATTTGAGGAATTAAGGAAGTAAGTTAATTTTATTTATATAAATAAATCCTTGCTAATTAAGATGGCTAAAACTATCATTATTAGAAGGATTATCTGGAAAAATGCAAATATAAAGAAAAAATGGATTGGGTCTTATAATTAGGACCAAATAAAAAGTCAAATTGGGTCTTATAATAAGGACGAGAGTAAAACGAGAAACATGATCATTTTTCAGCCATCACTTTTCATAAGAGCCCCAATCACTCTTTTAAAGAGTAGTTTATGTGGAATATTAAGGGGCGAAGACGTGAAGTATATTGTAAAATTTATCTGTTAAACCTTGTGGGTTAGTCATGTTTAATTTAGGCAACTCTAAAAAGTTATCGTCATCTGTACGGACACTTTGATCATAAATGGCTTCTTAATTTTTAATTATGTGCCTTAAGTAATATACTGTCTAGAATCAAGCCATCCATATCATCATTGTTTATTTATTTATTTAATGTTTGTTCACTACCCAGATTGGACGGGTGATAAAATACTATCCACGATATGATAGAATATACACACATACACCCACACATTATTGATTTCTATTCATTAAATAATGGAAGTGCCTTAAGTGCCTGCTTCAATAGAAGCTACACATGCATCCATAGCCTATCCTATATAATAACCTTAAGTGCTTAATCTTAGAGCTAATTTTAATTTTAATTTTAATTTGGTCTTAAACATGAGACCTCGATTTACTTTATTTCTTATATTTATTCATTTTTTTCATGGTAGTGCTTGTAATTGTTGCTCATGTTGAATATGTCATCAAATGATAATTCTAGCCAATACACATGATTAGTAAAAATATTTTAGAAAAAACTTTTTAATCTAATCAAATTAGTCAGCCAGCTCTTATATTAAAGACCAGAGGTATTATTACAATTATAATTATTATAAGAGATCAATCCCCATTTCAACGGTCTCTAGCGTTTTCGTAGAGTCATATTAATAAAAATATCGATAAATAATCACCAGATTTGTGAACATATAAATCATTGTTTAACTTAAGATACGGTGCTCGAATTTAATATATGTGCGGTTGTTGGAGGTGGCCGTGGGTGGTGGCTGGTGCATGATTGTTTAGTTACAATATGCTTCCATATCAAGCAAAATGGCGGTCTGATTTCCACCAAGCCACACAGCCAGTGGACTATGGGTTTTTTTTTAACTGCAAATAAATTCCGACCATGAAGATGCAAGAAGAACACGACAAGAGTTGTCTTGTCAAAACAAAAGGGCAAAATCTTAATTATATAATTAGTATTAAAGTTTAGATACAATCAAACGCATTTTAAACCTGGCTATTTGTCCACATTCGACTAACAGTACCTTGTACGGAAACTTGAAGCATTGGACTGATGGTCCTCAGCTCCGGATATAGAAGTCTAGACAGCTAAGCATGCATGAAATATTTTGACTGGCAGTAGAATTCTCAATGTTCTTAATTTAACAGCGTTAATTAATGCCTTCGTTTAATTACTAACAGAGGCCGGATTTTTAAAAAAGAGACTAATTCATCATAACGTGACGAATTGGTATTTAAATACTAGGAGAAGAAGTACCAGCATTTAGTAATTAATAATACCTCAATACTATTGTCTTCATAAAAAAAAAATGCATGTGCTTATCAAAACGTCTTCGCTGGAATAGAAGCCACCCGTGGTTTAATTAGGAAAGTCGTTTGTTTCATAATAAGACTTTTTCTTGTTTAATTAGGGAATATTTAACAAGATCCAGTTTCTCTTCCCGCATGAGTACTATTTTAACAAAATTCCAAATAAAAAAAAAAAGAAATTTTTAGATTTTCCGGATCATGAATAGTTTTCCCTTGAATATTCCTCGTTAGAATTTTTTTATTTAATTACCAAGAGAAAGAAGTTAAATAGCCCATTAAAAATAAATTATTTTAAAATGGAGGGAAATCGACAATTTGATTGCGAACAAATCTAAAATCAATTTTGCCTTAGCATGAGTTTTTAAATCGCGATTAACTTTTTTTTTTTATAGATTTTCTTGAAGAATAGATGTGGATGATTTATATTTGAAAACAGAGGAAGTAATCGTTTGGATCGATGTTTCTTTGATGGATGACTGGATAGTGTGATGGAGAAATAGACTGCTAGTGCTTGCGTTTGATGGAGAGCATTCATAAGGTCAAGCCAATTCCAACTTCCATGGCATGGAATTCCATTCCCTGTAGTCATGTATGTTTCGGCAAAGAACAACAATATTGGACTGCCAAAATTCCAAATCACTACCTCATATGCGAACATATTCCTTTTCACGGGGCAAAAAAATAACCAAGCAAATGCGATTATGGTTAGTTTCAGCCATATGACTGAACAAGTCACTGGATTACATTTGTGCGCGCGCGCTAATTAAAATTCCAAGGAAGCACATGTTCCCTTTTTCCTCCCAGAAATTAAAAAAAAAAAAAAAGAATTGAAGAGGCTATGTTAGAATATAATGGTTGAAAATGTCAAAGTTTGGCACCTTTTTGTCGTGTTTGGTTAGGGGCATAAATGGGATGAATATGCTTTTGCTTTGGGCGAAGATATTGGTGTCAAAAAGAGCAGAGGAATATTTCGCAGCCACTAGGGCCGCGCCTTCGAGCCGTCCCCTGTTCAATTCCCTTAATTATACATATATATGCCTTCCCTCAATTCTCAACGCCACGCCAGAAGTGCTGATTGGTCCATCGGCCTTCTACCATTTTCTGTCCTCCCGTCATATCATATCTGTTCCTTTGTATTTTACATATCCAGGAATAAGTCCCTCCCAGTTACCCTTTAAATGTTCGAATCCCGTGTTTCTGCCTTTTCACGAAATACAGAGCTACATCACGCATCAGATATTTAATTGCCCAAAATTGTGGTCCAGAATTTGCATGGGCTCCTAAAATGAAAGTTTAATAATGCTCAAATTTCACTTGATAATAATATTGCGTATTAGATACTGTAGAGAGTAGGGGTGAGCAAAACCGAACCGTAACCGAAAACCGAACCGAACCGAATTGAATTTCGGTTTTTCGGTTCGGTTATTTCGGTTTTCAGTTACATATTCGGTTTTTCTTTTCTTAACAATTCGGTTTCGGTGTTCGGTTCGGTTAGTAGAAAAAAAATTTCGGTTATAACCGAAAAACCAAAATAAATATATTATATATTTATATTTAATAAATATTATTATAATAAATATATATGTGGGTTTATGTGAACTTTTTAAATATATTTATATTCAATAAATATAGTTATAATAAATATTATTATAATAAATCACATCGAATGTTGAAATATTTATTAATTATTGGTTATAATTGTGTTTTATTATTATTTTTAATTTAAAATCACTTTTCATATCTATAATTTCGGTTAATTCGATTTCGGTTAGTTCAGTTAATCGGTTTCGGTTCGGTGTCTAAAATTTACTATATTCGGTTATTCGATTATTTCGGTTAGTATCGATAACCGAACCGAAAAACCGAATGCTCACCCCTAATAGAGAGTACATTTTTTTTATAAGTTTTATATCATCGATAGAATAGTTGTATTCGGCAAAAAAAAGAGGGAACATAATATATGTATGTATGTATATGGATTCCTCGAGGGGCGGTGATGGTATTGATAAACCTGTTTTTGTATTAACAGATGTAAAAGCACTTCAGAGATGTAAAAGCACTTGAGAGAATAAAGTTATTTGAGGGTAAGGAGTGATGAAAACAAAACCATAGTTTTAATACTAATTTTATAATATATGAAATAAATATGTAAAAAAATCTATCTCGATGTATAAAAAAAATGTTTTTAGAAAACACTCTTGTCAATAACCAAATGCTATTCTTTTAAAATTCGGATTCTTCCACCTTCCTGACATGATTAAGCAGCATAAACAGGACAGGATAGAGATAAATTAAGTATAGGTATATTAAATTAATTAATATACAATTTATTAACTGTACACAAAATGACAAAATGATTGGCACAGGTATAAGTATTACGATACGGGGACCGTAATTTTGTACGGCGAATGAGAAAGTGTTGAAATTAGGAGCAAGTGCGGGTTAAGTTGCAGGAGGAAGCAAGGCAGTGAATGGGCAAGCTATACACACGTCTCTCAATCCCGTGTAGAGATTCTGGGGGATTTGGGCTTTCTTTCAGGAGCTTCATTATCTATGGCGAATCAATAATGGAGGTCCAACCAACAATTGTTGGTTCAAGTAGAAGGGATTTGAGTATCTTAGTTTGATCTTTAAGGTGGTGTGTATGGAACAAATATTATTGAGAAGGGTCCAGGCTGCGGTGTTTGAATATTTTGATAGATTAGTTTCTCATCGTTTGGGTGGGAGAACACTCTAAGCAACTAAAAAACATAATGATGGAGGTCCAGAGCTGTATTATTTGTATTTACAACTCCAGAGCTACTAAATGGTACCAACAATCTTCCCAATATACTGACCGCTACGTACAATGGCGTGCGAGTGTTGACTTGAGACTTGCATGCCGTTTAATTCATTACACTATATCATTGTGGTTTGCTACTGATGATTCTTTGGCATTACCGCTACTGGAAGAATCCTGATGGTGCTGGCCTTTCAGCTCGCCGGAGGACTTGGACAGGGGGGCCTCATCTGCCAGTGCCACGTCATGTTGCTGAACCACCAGCACTGAGGCCTCCACCCCGTTCCCCGACGACGCCAGAATGTCCCCTATCGGCCCTAACTCCGCGTGCTCCGCTTGCCTCTCCGCCAGCCCCGCCACCATCCTCGAAGGAAACCTCCCCTTCCCCACCACTATCAGATCGTAACCCCCGCCCCTCCCTATCGCCATCACTTCCTCCACTATGCTGCTCCCCACCTTCTCCACGTACACCGCCACTCCTTCCCATTTGCTTCTGAACTCCGCCACCGCCGCCTCATCCAACTCCTGCACCAGCCAACACATCAGATAATAAAAAATTAAAAAAAAATCAAATGTCAAGTATATTTCAATTCTAATAATAATTCCCTGGTTAATTATTGATCTCTCATGGGCTTCATTCTAATTTGGATTACCTGCTCCGTTTGACGGTTCATTTTGGCGGTGGAGAAGCTGTAGATATTGTCGCTGCTGTTCTTCGGTGAATGGCGGAGCACGAGTTCGCTACTTCTGGAGGCATCCCACTCCGGGTCAACGAACCTCACCACCGTAACCTTAACCACCGGATGTTCGGCCATTCTTGAGCCCAATTCCAAGGCCTCTCGATCATCGGGCCCACCAAAGAACACGATACAAACATTTTGGGCCATGCTTACATTTGGGCCTGGAGTTTTGTACCCGTCCCCAAACCCACGGTCCACCAGGACCCCCACAGAGCAAGGCGCGTTCCTCAGCACTCTCTGGTTCACGCCTCTCCACGCATGGCCCACATTCCCCATAATCTCGTGAGAATGACTCCTTTTGTCCTCATCCTCCTGCTCCACCTTCCTCCATTGCTTGTGGAAGGGCAAGATGATCATGGTCACCCTCTTTTCCTCGGCCACGTGGCAAATGTCCTCGTGCATGGTGGCCAGAGAGGAGATGGCGGTCGTTGGCCGAACGGAGACTCGGCCCAGTTGGCTATAGGCCTGGAAAGCCCCGGCCAGCGGGTCGTGCCAGTAGGCGCCGTGGTAATGGCTGAAGAAAGGGAAGCCATTCTTGCGAGCTCGTTGAGCCATGATAATGGAGGAAGAGCGTTCGGTGAGCTCCACGAGGTGCATGATGAAGAGCTTGAGGGAGGACTTCTTGGTGCTGCGAGTGGACTCGATGAGGCTGATGATGGAAGGGACGTTGCCGGGGCCATGGACGCAGGCGAGGACTCGGAGCTGATCGGAGACGTCGTTATTGGAGTCGGCGGTGAGGTCGCCGAGCTTGCGGTGGGTGCGGGAGGAGATGCCACGAGCGGGTTTGTAGATGGCCATGACTGTTGGAGTTGTGATGAAGGTGGTGAACAGAGCCATGAGGACTAAGATTGCGAACATCTCGTCGTTTAGAACCTGTGATGTGAACAAGGGACAGATCATGAGTTAGATGTTTGCCCTGCTATGTCATTTTGTCACTATTGTGCGAAAATGTTGGAAGGGGACTATGGGATTAGGATGTTGTCGTTTAGTGGAGATGAAGACTTGACCCTTCCTTATTTATTTTTTTAAAGAGAAAATAAAAGAAATTAGGCCATGAACGGCACCTGTTCTGTTCTCCGATGATTAATGAACATAGGCGTAAATCAGCTCCAGGAGAAAAAAAACAAAAATTGAACATAGACGTAAAGTCAAAGACGGAAAGAGCCTCACGGGGAACGAGGCGTATTAATTTTGTGTTTTGACTTTGCCACGTGAACCGCCCACTGGCATAGTGCCCTCCCTAGAACCTGGGCGCGCGACGTAGTTACAGCTCACTATAAGACTTCCTTTTGCTTTTTTTTTTTTCTGGCAAAATATAAGAAATGTTGGTGCTGGGATTGAATGAACTAAAATGACTATTTTTTTGACCCTTGACCATAACTATCCTTCAATAAACATAGAGATAAAGGAAAAAACGGTACTTAAATATTCAGACCACTCTTAAAAATTCCAACTACCTAGCCAAGATTAAAGAGGATAGTTAATAATCTAAAAGGCAACTTTTTAAATTCATCCCTGCTTAAGAGCATAAATTAAAAAAATGGTTCTTAAAAATTGTAAATAAAGGTCATTTTTTAAAGGCAAAAAAAAAAACCTCGGCAAGCTTTGTATGGGAAGCAACTAATATACATAAGATCATTAATTTATTTTCATAGATGACTAATATTTAGAACCAGAATATGTGAGCGAATGGGCTTTTGAATTTTCACTTCCAAATTTAATCTTAATCCATTCCACATTTTTTTTTCAAAAAAAAAAAATCAGTTCTGAATAGCAGGAATTAAGAGCGGGTTGAAACAAAGGATGCATAGACGATCCTCTTCCTCTATATGGGATGCTTTGAAAATGCAGACACCACCCAAAAAAAAAAAACCTAAGTATCAGACTTGTACGTCCTCTTCATCACTATTGAGCCAACTGAATTGTCTTATAATCATTCATTGCATATTTGTATGATCATTTACAATCTGTACATGACACAAAATTCATGTTGAGTGCGATGAGCAGAACAGAGCAAAGGAAAGCGTCAAAATACAGCAAAGGAAGCTGACCTTTTTTTCCTTCCCAATGTTGAGTACGATGAGCTCCACCAGTCCTTTGGTGTTCATGAGCACACCCAAAGTCAGAGCCTCTCTCGCCGGCATCCTACACAGTACTGCCACCACGAACGTGCCCAGTATCTTGCCGGCGCAGGCTGTCGATACCACCAGAACCAGAAGCCCCCATGCTTCTGCGCCTCTGATTTTCGCCACGTCCGTCTTCAATCCACTAGAAGCAAAATACAGAGGAAGAAGCAAGCCAGAAATAAAGTCCTCGATCCTTTCTATTAACCTGTCTGCGAAATCACCGCCCTTTGGAATGGTTAACCCGAACACAAAGGCCCCGAATATGGAGTGGATCCCAATGAGGTCCGTCATGAATCCTGAAATCATCACTCCTGCCAGTGTCAAGCAAATATAAACTTCGTCCACCGCGTCGTGCTCCGACGAGCACCTTCGGGCCACCCATTTCATTACAGGTCGGATCGCGACCATCATGAATATCACAAAACCAAGCCCCGATAGCAAGACCCAGACCGATACCAAAGGGCTCTTCTGGTTCCCGGCGTCCCCCGCGAGAGCGACGGCTAGCGCGAGCAAGATCCATGCTGCGACATCGTTGAATGCTGCGGCGGCCATTGCAGTCTCTCCAACGTGGGTGGTCAGCAGCTTGAGCTCGGCTAGGATACGAGCGAGCACAGGGAATGCGGTGATGGAAAGCGCGACGCCCATGAAGACAAGAAATTGAGCGAAACCGACCTTACCGGCTCCGTCGACGGTTTTCCGGATAATGATGGAAACGCCGAAGCCACAAACGAAAGGAAGGGAAATTCCGGCCACCGCAATGCTAAGAGCTCTTCGACCACAGCGGCGAATGGAGTTGAGGTCCAACTCGAGTCCAACGAGAAAGAGGAAGAAGAGAAGACCGATGCTGGCAACGGATTCAAGTATGGGAGTGCTCCATGAAGGGAACACACGGTGCATGTAGGTTTCGTTCCTTCCAAAAGCCGAGGGGCCCAGTACGATTCCTCCCTGTAGAAGAAAATAAAACAAAGTGATCAACAAATAATTTTGTGAGGAGAACATGAAGTTAGAGAGAGACAGAGACATACGACGATCTCAGCGATGACCTTGGGCTGGCGGAGGGGCTTGAGGAGGAAGGCGAGAGAGCGGCTAACGAGGAGGATCAAGGTTGTTTGGATGATGAGAAGCGGGAATGCGTAGTCCAAGGGATTATCGCCCTGCCAGGCTCCATCCGACGACGTTTTGATGGAGGTTATGTTGAAGGCCATGGCTATGCCTCTGCCTCAAGATTCAAGAAGAAGAAGACGACGACGACTTGTCAGAATAGCATGGAAAAGTGATCCTTTGATTTAAGAAGGCATTAAGGCGCGGCGTGTATTTATAGACGGTGGATGTTAATGCTCGCGCTCTTATACAGATTCTGGGTGTCAGCAATTAAGATACCTGACACTCAGCGTTACTTGGATTACCAATAGTAAAAATACCCCTCCAATTCACGATATGGGCTCTCTTTAAAATATATATATATATATATGTTATAATATATATTCGATTTGAAATTTTATCATTCGGTGACTTTCATTTATTTGCCATCTTTGGTCCTTGCACGTAATAGGTAAACCTGACCTTACCTATAGCAACATTTACATTTCCAAGTGAAAAAAGTATTTAATTTTTGTCCTTTCTTGATTAATTTTACCATAGAAAATATTATTGAGAGGTGTTTCCATCCCTAATCTGACTTCTATACAGTATATATGTGAAGGTAGATCCTCCCCGGCCGTATGCTCGATCCCATTTGTGTATTTATTAACTGTTTAATGTTAAATTAGATAGATTAAATAGAAAATTAGACGAATAGATGAGATTAAGTGCAGAGCGGAGTATGAAGAGAGAGTATGGAGAAGATTCAAATCCCACTACACACTGCCCTATTTGTGTTTTAATGCCTCTCAAGAGCGTGACTAGGTAACATTATCGTAATTTGCTCCTAAAACAGAAAGTGGAAGGCAGGAGGAAAGATGCTTCCATTAGCATATCAATGTATTTGAGCCAAAAGCACTAGCAAGGATTATTTTCCCCGCCTCCCGCTTTCTTTTCTCGGAACGCCTGCCTTTTCCTCCTGAAGGAGAATAATTGTTTATGCAGAGCCCATGGTTTTTATTTTTAAGACCAGTAATTAAGACGGATAATTATGTTTATTTTAAACGGCAGAGAAGTGGAGATGTTTCTGGCTGTTGACTTTGGGAGGTCCACTATGATGAGTTATGCATTTGGAAGAAGTAATGATGATGACTGAGACAATATAGTAGCCATTAAAACGAATCTATATATGTACTGTCTTGAGGTGTGAACCCGAGATATATAGAAGCAGTCAATTATTGGGAAGATATACTCCACACGCAAGGGAAAATAGAATGGATTTGGAGCATTGAGCTACGACAATAGAGAACGGAGTTTGAAATCAAATCAAATCAAATGAAAGCCGCCATTGTTGATGTCGCAGACTCCCCCAGTTGATTGGAAACCCTCCTCCACTTTTAAGAGAATTTTGAGGAGCTAATGCGCATTATACCCACAAATCTTAGGCGCGTGTGTCTCCTTTCTAATTAAGTTAACTTTTGATTAAATAGCCCTTCTCTCCTGTAAATTATGGACACACACAAATTTGACGACGTATCTATCATTAAAACTCACGACTTTAACTTTTTTTAAGAACCATGTATTTTGTATGTATGATGTGACCAGGATTGGGGCTGTAAAATGTTATGATGCATGACTAGAGATTATTAATATTTTTGTGACCAGTAGTAAGTCATGTTATGTAATTAAATATTATCCATTTGCCGGACCCTCCACAAAACAGTCCTTGTTATTAAACTGGATGATCGAATGGTTTTTGTAAAAGAAATAAAAATAATCATAATAAAGTAAGAATCTCGTCATGAATAGTCTCTATATAGAGTGCTCCAAAATGTTCCCTGCCTTCTTTAATTGATCATCTATAACTCTGTTGTAAAACATTGAACGCATTATTGACTTTGCTACCCTGAATTTGGAAGGATTTTAATAAGCCAGACATTTTTAGAAGGAATGATATTTGATTAATGAGTCGTTTTAATGTATACTGGATTATTCAGTTTGCATGCCAACAACAATCTCATGATCGATAATGAACGTAATTAAATTTGCACCTGTCTCCACGTGAACAGATTGAACAGTCTTTATTTTAATCTGCGTCATTTGATGTCAGGTCAACCCCACTACTTCCTCTCTTGCATACCACTTTGAGATCAACGCACGTCAGTTAAAAATCAAGCAAGATACAGGAACTTTAGCCGTCTACAACTCAATCGTATGAAATTTTACTTCACATATTATCTCTCATCAGATGCACGTCCCAGCTTTCAAATTCACGTAATTAATTAATTAATTATAGCAATAATTAAGGTAAACAATCACCAGGCTAATAAAATAAAACAAAAAAAGCAAAAATCACATTCTTTACGTCACACGATTCACTCATAAAACACCTGGCGACAAAAACATCAAAAAAAAAAAAGAGAGAAGGGAATGAGATACAAATACATACTCATCAGCATCAGGTCAGTCATCTCATATTAAAAGAGAGAATACTGTTAATTAATATATAAACACAAACGATTAATGCACCTTTTTTTTTTTTTAAAGACACACACACACACATATATTCGTCTTGCTAAAATGGAGGCTTTTGTCGTTTATACTCTGATATTCACCGGCTAGCAATCATAGTAGCTCATCAATATATCCAGTATATGTTTGTAAAAGGACACAGAATATGTGCCAATCAATACGGAGAGCATATAAAGGTTATCGGTGGAGGAACTTGCAATTGTCATCATCAAATGAAAGAAGCTCCATAAAGTTTGATCTGACAACCCCATTCTCTGTGATCTACAATTTTTCATCAATATGCAAGCGCAGCCACATATATCTATATAATCCCTGCCTTTTGGATATATATTGACCGATCAAGAAATATTACAACTTCAAATTAATTAAATTACCTCTCTATCACTATAGTTGCTATCCATCCTAAGCTATGACGTAGATTATGTTTATCCAACCCCATAATTTCATGTGCGTGCATATTTGTGTCGCCGCCAAACGATCGTTTCGCACAAAGCAGCCAAAATACATAATCCAGTTTGGGTAATATTTCATAAACAAAACTTCAACATCCATCCATCGTCACCATCATCGCTCTCAAAACCACTGTGCAAGCGTGCAAGCTGTATCTTTGCAGGGGGAGACGCGCACACACAACACCCACTTTTACGGCTTTTACTGGTGAAAAGAGGGAAGTGTCCGTGACAGAGGGGTTAACCACCATGGATGCTTTCACGAGCTTCCATTTTTTCCAGTAATTATCAACATGCAGATCAACATGTGTGTGTGTGTGTGTTTAGTCAACGCACTATCAAAATTAGTTGAGACTCACAAAAATCACTCGCTCCTTTCGCTATTTGCCTTTAAATTCCATCCATCAAAATGTGACCATACCCTACATATATATATATATATATATATATATACTCTCTCTTTCTTTCATATTTGTGTTCTTTTCTATAGTAAATATTGAATCATTAAAGAGACGTTTATGGCCGCTAATTGCTATAGCATGCAATGCAAGTGCCCCAACAAGGACGGTTCAGGAACCTTAACAACCCACTCTCTCTCATTTGCAGCTTTCACATTAATTTATTTGCATATAATAACATTTTATATGTGCGCATTGTCTGGAGGCGGTTTCCCTGAAATTTCATGAACACACTTTACCACCATAAAGCAACATCAGAATCATCAAAACTCTAGCCAGCTGTGTTGTGTTGGAAGGAAAACTTGCTACTTTTGTTTGGAGCAATCATAATGAATTGAATATATTTGATATGATTATTATAATTATTCATTGTGCCAAAATCCCCTCTCCACTTGTATATTACCTTCAGTCCTAATTATAAGAACTAATTGACTAATTTGATGAGATTAAAAAAATAAATTTAGTTATTTGTAATAAATACGTACTGTCTTTCCTAAAATATCCTTATTAATCAAGTTTATTGGCTAAAATTATCGTTATTAGATGGGCTATCTTGGAAAAAAATACATAAATATGAGAAACAAAGTGAGTTGGGGTCTTATAATTAGGACCAAAATAAAAGTCAAATGAGGTCTTATATTAAAAACCGGAGGTAGTATATAATTTACATGAAACGATTGTATCCTTAATTAATAAACCCTGATTCCAATTCTTGACGCCTTATCAATTGCATATACTACCTCTCTGGTTTTTAATATAAAATCTCGTTTGACCTTTAATTTGATTCTAAATATAAGATATTAATCTACTTTGTTTCTCATATTTATGTATTTTTTTCTTAAGGTAGTCCTTCTAATAATGATAGTTTTAACCAATATACTAAATTAGTAAGAAAAACAACACATTTTTATTACAAATAATTAACCAATTTAACTTATTTTCTTAATCTATACAAATTAGTTAACCAGCTTTTATATTTAAGACCGGAGGTAGTATAATCGATAAAACAAGTGAGCAGTTAATCAATGCCATATACAGTTGATTCGTTGAGCCTTGCCCGGCCCCCTCATTTTGATGATAAAGCGAAACCTAGTTGCAAGGATGCATGTATCGCATGTTTGACTTGCTATATGCAGCCAACCACTCCAAATCGTACGGACAGGGAGAAAATGGGTATTACATTAGCGTTCTAAAGTTATGCGATTCCACTGATCATATCGATGGAGTGCGCATATATAAATGTATATATATAATCTCTTACGAATATAACTCATATGATCGTTGCTGTTGACTTTGATGTTAGCGATAAGGCAATCGATTGCATCAGTTGAAGAGTTCAAGTGTACACCGACAAATGAAAAATGCAGCAAATTAGCTATCAACATATGTAGGGAGGAGAGAAGGGAAGAGGATGTTTTCAAAAGAGTGCATTGTGTAGCCAGCTAGGTATTCAGATTAGCATCAAGCTACTCTCGCTCCTTCATTCCCAGCCACATCTATGATTTAAAAATCTTATTACTACCTAGCTACCAAGTTTCCTCGCCAAGGGCAACAAAATCATGGGTGCATGTCACCCTGACAGAGATTATTTGTCATCTCTAGTGGTTCAGCGTGATCATCGAGGAGAGTTTTGTCCTGCTGCTCAATGAATCCTGAAATAAGACACTGGAAAACCAACGCTGGATTTGACTCCTGGATATGCTGTGGGGACAATGCATGTTTTTTAAGTCCAAAAAAAACAAAAAAACAAAAAAAGGCAAGGCAAAA